CATTTCATCTACAAGGCAAATAAAAAAGGTTGAGAGTTTACAATTGATTATAAAATAATAATGGGTAGCAATTTATACTTACATTGACATAGATGAATATTATGTTGCCACAGATGTACCTTCTGTTGCCACAAATGAATCTTCTGTGGCCACACATGAATCTTCATGTGCCACAAATGAATCTTCTGTCACTACATATGACCATTTTGTTTCCCTAACACATAGGTGATATGTTCCAACATATGACAACTCTGTTGGAATATATACCAACATATCACTGAAATGTAGCAACATACGACCCATCTTTCAACAAATGAAATATATGTTGGACAACTGAACAAGACTATATTTACTAAAATCATATGAAACAAAATGGTCAACAAAAAAACAAACAAAAGCAAACGAAAAATGTAATTTTCACTGAATGTTAACAATACATATACATTTCCTCAAAATTAGGGTCTTTTTTGGGTTTGTTGATTTTCTTTCAAAAACAATAAATAATAGGTACCATTACACTATTATTCAATTTTCACATCTATAGAACAATTTATTGTTCATCAACCCAAGAAAAAACTTAGTATTGTTCGAAAATTGTAAAATCTTTTAAAAAAATGACTTACCCATTTTAAGTTGAACACAATCTTCAGTTCAGAAAGAAGAGAGAATCACAGCCGAAGATGAGGAGGAAGATAAGATAATGGGGGAGAATATTTGTTTTGATTGTCAGATTTTTGAATTTTCTAAGGAAGAAGAAGAAGAGAAGAAAGAACGTTGGGAGAAGAAGAAGAGAAATTTTTTTTTTCTTTTTAAAATGGATTGGATAGAATTATAAAAGTTGAAAAATGAAGTGTTTTTTGTATTTTATGAAAGATTAGAAAGTTTTGAAAATGTTAATTTGGTCCCAGATTTACTTAATTATATTTTAAAGTAGATTTGACCCTTTATTGATCAAAGTGTCACAAAAAACAAAACCCAAACTTAATTGACATTTTTCATTTAATTGTCTCCTAGAAACATCCATATCTCCTTTCTCTCTTTTCTTACTATCAACCTCAAGTCTTCACAGCGGATTGCACTTCAGGTTAGCCCAATTCTTCATTCATTTTTTCCTTCAGTTCATCTCAAGAACTTTATTCTTTATTCAAAATTCAGGTTTGCCCAATTCAAGATTTAGTAATAAAATGAAAAATATAGAAACATCCATATGTAGCCGCTTCTTCTTGCTTTCTTTGTTCAATTATCATTGTTTCTTGATTTGAGATTTTAAAAAGTGAAAACCTAAAATGAAGATAAAGTTTATTTTTATGTTCATGAAAAATCAAAATTAGAGTACATCCTTTACTTGAATAGAGATAAAGTTTTTTTACCATGAAAAATCAAAATTAGAGTACATCATTTTGCTAATTTGTTGTTATTTGGTGGAATTTGTTGATGGAGCACGAGCTTAAAGAAAGATCGCCATCCTATTATAGTGTTGTTACTTCTTAGTGTTACTGTAGAACCAGCAGAATATAAGAAGTTAGTTAGCAAGGGTGTGATGGAGTTTACATTTTGTCCTAATTGTATTCTAATTATGAGAATAGTTTTGTTGTTTGTTTGGATTTGGTTGATAAATAAATTAGAGTACATCATTTTGCTTTAGCCTTATAGAACCATCTAGACAAGTCATCAACTATCTTATCTATGCACTTCCTCCATAGCAGTGTACAAATTTTACTCAACTATCATCGGGTCTATTCTGGTGATGTTGGCAATTCTTTTGAACTTCAGTATTCGTTAAATACAACCTGCTATTCCAGAGTACCTTTTTTTCTCAATCTCCCCCTCCAAGCTCTTTTCATCTTCTCTGTCTCCGATTTCAGGTATGATTCTCTCATTTTCCTAGAATCTTCTGGGTATTTTAGTTCTCTTAAAAATTCGCAATTTCATGACTGCATTTCTTCTTCTTCTTCTTCTTCTTGTCCTATTGTGACAATATTATGCGAACATCATAATGAAAAAGTTGAACTTTTGATTCCATATCCCGTCAATTTTTTCCATTCCCGATTTCAGTATTGTTTGACTAATGCATAATCATCTTAATAGAGAGAGAATTCAATTATGCTTTGTTCTCTATTCTGATACAATAAGAAAGAAATTTGGCACACAGAGTTCTTGATTGAGCCCATTCTAAGTCTCGGCTGAGAACTTTGATTGTGTGCATTTACAGTCCATCAATAATGAAGTATTTGTAATATAACCTGTAAGTTTCAACATCTGCATAGAAACATATAAGTGAGGAACTGTTCATTGAAAACTTTGATCATATTTTGCATTAGTCAATTAGTTTAATTTTTTTTGCAAACTATTTGATTATTATTGTGAATTTCTGGAAGCTGAATGAATAATGAATTACATATTCTTGGTTGGTGATCTCTTTGGTATGATCAATTGATAATATGGATGCAATAGGCGCTGTGCATATTTCGGGTAAAACCAATAAATCCAACCGAAACAAGTATCGTTGGTTTACCGCTTTCGCGTTTTTAGTTGAACATATTGTTTAGTGTTATTTGACTTTTGGATTATTGATTTGGGACTCATTTTGTCCAATTTTCCTAATGGTTTAACCAACAACTGATACCTAAACTTTTTGCTCGAAATTTCTCTGAGTATCTACTTATTAATCCTTCTTGACCTTTTGTGTCATCTAGCCATGAATGGACATATTTTATTTTGCTCACTTGTGCTTCTTCTCATATATGCTTAAGAGATTTGTTTGTTGCTATTTTTAAGTTGGTCACCTCAAAACTTAATTATTATTTTCGTCCATATTTTTATGTTTTTCCTACTCTTCTTCTGACAATTTGTTGCTTTGGTTTCTTTGTGGCTACATGCATATTTAATGTGAATGCATTAGCCCATTGTTTGGAGAAGCTGTATCTCTGTCAATAGCATCGGAAAAGTACCGTTCTAAATAATAATACATATATATTTCTGATTCTTAATGAAAGCAACAATCTTAAAAGCTAGTGAAAGAAAAAAAATGTCATGCAAAGCACAAGAGCTTAGTTGGACAACTCCAGTAAATAATTTAGTACTCATCGCAAGAGCTTAGTTGAAAACTCAAGTAAATAACTTTTGTCACTAGACACGTAATATATTGAGAATGCAAAAAAATAGAAACTTTGTGAGATTGCAGAAAATCAGAAACCATGTTAGAATGTACACACGTGACTTCAGAAAATAAATCAAGATCCCAATAGTAATATTCAATTGTAATCAATCTGGTGCATTTACGTGTTATCTGCAATTACAGGAAACTGATGGCACAAGGCATAAATGGAAGGATTCTAAGATGAAGAAACTAAAATTACTAGCTGAAGTTTGGTACGTATCATTTATATATATAATAGTTGCACATATAATGGCATTTATGTAGAAAGCATTATTGTTAGTGTTAACTTTTTTCCTGTAGGTGTTTTCTTTGACTTTTGATACTTTGGTTGATTGTGGTGTAGTATATTGCAAGTCTCACATAAGCACTGACGTACTGTCATGAGAAGCATGTTATTCATAGGGACATAAAGCCGGAAAATCTGTTACTTGATCATGAAGTAACATCTTGATAAGTACTAACCGCCTTCCTTTGCCACATCTGGTAAGTTTTATTAGCACCATTTGCCAGAAGCAAGAAAAATGAACACACTAGACACACAATGTAATTTTTCGACAAACCAAGGAGTGTCAATATGTAATATATATATATACACACAAAACAAATACTTTTACCTAGACACACAATGTAATTTTTTGACAAAGGGGTGTCGATCAACATACACCTCAGATATATGTGGTTCCACTACTGAGTGCAAGGTGGCTCCAACACGGACAATGGAGTAACATTTTGAAACATTCTCTCATATGTTCCAACTCTGCAGGCATTTAGATTTCTCCTAAGAATGATATTACTTGAGTTATTGCTTCTCCTCTGAGTTGCATTCCTATCCTATCCCCGCCTATTCAATAATGAGAGAGTGATCAGACCAATTAGGTGTCTAGTAGTTGGATATGTAGGACGAGCATTGTAAAACTTTGAGGTCGATTAGTCCTATGCTAATAAAATAGTTGAACAGAAATTCCTTTATATACTTTGATAAACAATGTTGCTGGTTTGGAAGGATTTGAGGATTTCAGGTGTAGCTATATTGAAGTTATTCATTTGTCAACAATGACTTTATTTGCTAAAACTTCTAAACTTCCAATTTCTTTTTGTCATATGATTGGTTTTATTGGAAGCAACAAGTAAGTGTCGGCATCCCTTTAATATTTTTCCTTATTTTCTTTTGCCTTCCCCTAAACATTAGTCTTTATCATACTTGGATCTATAGTTATTAACATTTTCATGATTAAATTCTTGAATTTTACGGTGGTTGACTTCATAAAAAATAAGGTGCAAGCTATATATAGTTCATGTGATTCGACGCTTTGACAAATTGCAAATCATCTGATCATTGCATGACATGATAGGATACTTTTTTTATTTTTTTATGACAAGGAAAATTCGCAGTCGCTACCCCTTGGGTGTGCACATGCAGGATAAAACTCTCGCTCCTAAGCAATGTCTCGCAAACCACACAGGAGAGGTAACTCATACTAGGCAAGCCTGGTGCGATGAGCTCGACCCAGAAGGCAAACCCCTTGCTTTCGCTGGAAAGGGGTTTCGAACTTGAGACTACAACATGGAAATCCCAAGCCCTAACCACTGGGCCATCCGAGGTATCAAAAGGTGAGCGATTAGATCTTCATAAGGTAATTACTAAACCAAGTATCATATTTTTTATTCCAATCAAATTTGAAGATTTTGCCTGGACATCATGGAAGTGGAACATTTAAAAGTATTCTTGGTATTATATTAGTGCTTTGGTGTTATAGTAGAGAGACAAAGAGTACCGATTGAAGAACTATAGTTGCGTACATTATTATATTACTACCTCACCGGTAAGTTACTCATTCATTTTTTTCATGCTTTTAAGCTGACATTCAATTTCTCCATTTCTTATATTTTATAAATTCTCTCATTCTTGAAAAATAAATGTATAGCACTTCACGTGTTTGTTTGTACTTCGCGAGATTTCATATCGGGGAATTGCTGATAATTTCCTATTCTAGATATATTATGTGACAAGGAAGAATGAGGTAGGCTAAACGAAGAAACAATCTCCTATACTTATGTTCATACTTTTTTTTATAAAAAAGATAGAGAAAGACTAATCACAAGACTGTAATTGCAATATATTGTAAATCTGCAATAGTGTCTAATTAAATAGATTACTATGTTTATTTTTATTTTGAATAGTAGAACATATGAAGAATTGTCTTTACAATTTATATAATGTAAATAGTTTGAAGCTCTTGTAGATATAAAGAATTGAATGTGTCATTTTGTAACCAGGCAGCATCATTAATTTTGCAAAACTTGTAAAACGTTGTCGTTAAATGCATGTAAATAATAAGATTCTAGATTTTGCACATTGTGGAGTTAAATTTTGAAAGGATAAAGTATATATAATGTGAAGTTTATGGTGCTAGGTAAAATTTTGTATTCTGAAGGACACAATCCTGCAACAAACCTCAAACCTATCCAATATATAACCAATTTAAGAACAACTTGAAAGTAGATGGTTAGCAGAAGAGCAGGTTCAAAATTGGCAATTCACTATATATGTCCTTTATAATAAGTGTTCCAGCATGACAGTAGCAATATAAAGATGTGCTTGGTGATGCATTTCTAAAATCTTACTACTCTCACTGACGAAAAGGACTGTAAAATAGTTAACTACTTACGGAGTTATGGTGATATATAATTTGATTTATGATGATACAACAACTTCAAAAGCATGTTTGAAAAATTCAAGAGTTATTAGGGTTTTTTTAAATTTATTCTATAGCTAGGTTGTGGGAAGTTTTTGAAGCTATGGCAAATGGTCTTTTATTCAGTAATTTACTTAGTTGAATCCAAAATATGGTCAATGTTTTGATGACTTGCAGGTGAAGAAGCTTTACTTTCAAATCAAATGCCAAATAGTAACAAGTAGTTTATAAATGTCTTGTAGTATTAGATTAACGGGAGAATTTTGTATTATTATTTTATTCTAGCAATGTATCTTGTCTCTTCTCTTCCAAAGTAGATGCTTCCATGAGTTTATAAAAGTGCGCTCCTTGGTAAAAAAAGAGTACATTCTATAGTTCTTTTGACATTATAGCACTACTATAGTCCTTGGGCTGAGGTCTATTTGAAACAGTCTATATATATCAGCAAGGTAGGGGTAGGGAATGCGTACACTCAATCCTCTTTCAACCCCACTTGTAGGATTATACTAGGTATGTTATTGATGTTGTTGTATAACTTGAAGTTGATTGGTGTTTATCTGCATTTTGAAGGCGGGTTATTCAAGCTTCTAATACATTGTTTTGTGATGATATTGTGGAGGCTAACAATCTAACTAGGGACTATCCTATATATTACTCAAAACTAATGAAACATGATTGGTGTGTATATTCAACATATTGAGATGTAAATATATTTTTTATGTTCTAAGGTGCCAAACAAGTTGATACAATCCATCAGTTGGTACTTCAAACCAATCGTACAAATTAAGTCTTTTTGCCTAATGCTTCTTGTTTTGATCTTGAATTGAGAGGATTGTTTTACCAACTGTATGAGTTCTCATTCATTTTGTAGATAATTTTAGATGTGTAGTATTTGAAAACCATTGCTGATAGACTTCCCATTTTACCCATTTATATTGCATAGTATGGAGATTTTGAAGGCTGAAGAGTGAAGATATCTACTCTTTTAACTTTTATGCAAGTGAGAGTTGTCTGAGGTGGAATTGTTCCACCAGGGACTTCCAATGGTGTTGATAAGTTCATATGTTACAATTGGATAAGATTTTCCGTCAATGAAGTCGATTTTGGTTGGTGAAGACTTTTATATTAGCTATATCAAGACTCAAGAGGCGAACATGTCAATTCAATTGAAGCATAAGCTCAGGCACACTCCCTAAAAACATTCTCTTTCCTACTTCTTAGGAGAGAGAGACCCCTCTTTTTTTGACCACGTTCCGGTGGCAGCTTGCCGGAAACAGCCAACTTTCTTTCTCTCCTTGAGCTATTTCCTTTTGATTTAGCTATCCCCTTGCCTTTTCTTCACTTCTAAACCAGTACGGTGGTGATTCGCTATTCTAGCAATGGACAAGAATAGGATTTATTTCAATGCCGGTTTTAAATCTTTTGACATTACGAGATGGAGCTCCGGAAACTCAACCTGGTACGAATGGGTAGAAAGGAGTTGCAGACTTATGAGGAGAACCTCCATAAGCAGTAAGATCATGGAGTGGATTTGCTTCACACTCAAAGAAGCTTCTAACGACCAGAAGAAGGTAGTGAGGAGATGGAAAATTACAGAGAAAGATGCTGAACATTTTAGTACAAGGAAACAAAATGAGTATGGAAGATTTATGAGCATTCTGTGACTAAATAGAGAAGGAAGATCAATCTTGATTTTATCAGAAACTGCCTTAAATGCAGGTTGGTGTGATATTGCATTTAAGATAGAGAACTTCATTAATGCCCCCAAAAGGTAAGAGATTGTAGGCCCTTCAAGATTGACAGAAACCAACTACCCCTATGCTAAAGTTGTACAAGAAAGTAAATGGCCTTCTAAGACCATTCGCGAAGCAGAGGTGAGAAGCAAGAAGGGTAGAATAGAAATAGATGAAATTTCAGACCCTCAAGGGAAAGGACTACTGAATAGATGTTTGGTTGGTAGTATAGAACAGGATTGCAAAGAAAAACCTACATTGGTGGATATAAGGAAGTGGTCTAACCTAGCCTGGAAAAACACCTTTGGGGTCAATATATGAGATGTATGATGATAGATTTTTATTCGAATTTCCCAACAAACATATGGCTAAACAAGTTTTGAAAGGTCAATGGAGCTGGAGGATTATGAAATTCAATCTTGTAAGGCGGTCACCGACAGTAGGATACACATCGAAATCCATTATTGAGAAAGCTAAATGGATTAGAGCAGTCGGGGCTCCACTACACTCTGGTCTCACAAGGTCTTCTACGAAATTGGTCAAATCTGTGGGAGTTGCGTAGCCACAGAAGAGGAGACAGAAATCAGGAACCATTTGAAGTGGGCAAGAATTCTAGTGGCTAATGACGGGAGAAGTGTGCCAAATGAAGTCTCGATAATCCACAATGGCATCACTTTCGTTATCACGATTTGGGTTGAAAACAAACCTAGATTTGAATTTATGTCGGAGTTGCACAATGCAGTCATTGGAGAAGATGACACAAGTAATTACCCAGTCCATGAGTTTACCCAAAAGACAAAGAAAGAGATTGTCTGTGGTAAAAGTCTAACTGTTAAGAAATTCCACCTACTTGAGGATTTGAGTGTTAGAGATCACATAGGGGACTCTATACAGCTGGATCTAGTGGTCCCATTGAAACACATGAGGAGCACATGCTGAATTTAAATGACTTAATTTTTTTGGGCCAATTCCAGAAGTCCAAAGAAACTTCTTCATTTAATTTAAAAAATGGGTCTGATCGCAGCCCAAGTAATAAGTAATGACTTAACACTTCAGCCAAGTGCTTGTCAAACAAAAGTTTTAATTAAGGCTATCTATGACTCCTCCAACAAAGCTTTGATCGAGCAACCATGCAAAGTACAATGGACGAGAAGGCTCCATCAGATAGTGTCGAAACCATTAGAAAGGAGGTCGGGGAAGAAGATTCTACCAACGTTTTGGTAGAATTAAGAAATCAGGGGAACTCGAGGGAGAAGGTATCTCGAGAGAAAGGTGACAAGAATGACATCGTGGTGCACAACACAACAGAAACAGAGGAAAATTGGGACATTGAAGATGCATAACCATTGAGTGTTCAACCTCAGTTGTTTATTAAAGAGAAAGAGAAGGAAACCTCACTGTGGGTGAGACAAAACTTGTTGAAATTAGGCAAATTGTTGGGGGCAGATTTCCAGGGACTTGAGCAGGAAGCAATGGAACTACTATTACAAGTCGACAGTTGTAGAATTGCAAGAGGAATGGAGTCAGATGCAATGTGCAGGAAAACAAGATTCAAAGGGGAGCAGGAATTAAAGAGTTTAGTAGCTTTTGATGTGAAATTCAAAAGCGGTGGGGAAAGAATTAAGGGGAGAAACAGTTTACAATCTGTATGATGCAAATTAAACTAGTTTCATGGAATGTGAGGGGATTAAATTGCAGGGACAAAAGAAGATTAGTCAAG